TATATACTTCCTAATACAAGGTCAGAATGGCATTAAACTTGTCTTGTGTCATCACTTGATTGCACCACACACATTGATGTGTTTGTTGGTTCTAACCCCTTTAGCTCGACCCCTTTTCGGCTCTTTAGCTCTAGAAAGTACACACAACGTCCTACTGATGCCAAACTACCACAAAACCATCTTTATCAATCAAAGCTGACCTCAATGGGATTTTTCTGTAGTTGGCCACAGCGCCCCCTGTATAACTTTAACCTTCATTAACTTCAAAAGCATGTGGTCAGATAACATTAAACTTGGTCTGTGTCATCACACATACAGTGTGGTAAATATAGAGTATCCCCTGGTGGTGAGATGTGTAATTTATTGGTGGGCTCTGAGGAGATGCTGAGTCAGGGTGAGGTGCAGACGAGGAGACCGTTCGCGGTTTCTGGTGTCGGGGTGGTCAACGTTTCTGTTCCGCGGACGTGCCCGGGTGCACCAGGCTGCCGGCCAGGCCAGAGCGGCGCTGAGCTGCGAGGGCCGAACGACGCTGCTTGCAGCTTTCATTTTTTTATTTTTTTGTTATACAGTCATCTCAGGGATCCATCGGTCTTGCTTTGAACCCTGATGTATTTGCAGCAGCAGCAGTTGCTTTGCTCATCTTCTCCAAAGCCTCTGCAGCAAAGGAAAGTTGTCATCCTGGCAGGAAAGGGATTGGTGTCTTATCTTTAAAGTTATAGCTTTCAGGGTAAAGCTTCTTGAGTTCATAATTTGTTAGATTTTTTTGCTTGGTTTATAGAAAACAAACTGGCTATGTTCATCGCCCTGGTAAATTATTATAAAGATGTTATACATCTCACCGTTAAACACAAACTGTTTTAACTCATACAGCCCTGGTTAATTCATACATAAATAATCCAGCCTGCATCAACTGGTTTTAATGCAATCAAACCTTCAAAACTGCTATTTGTCAACAGTTCATCATCACCAAAGCCCCGCCCACCGAGAACAGGAAGTTACAGGCTTTACTGTATTTCACAGAAGTTGTCCACTTTGAATGCAATTTTTCACTGAACAGGAAGTGAATTTAAAATATGTCTGAGCTGTCCCCAATTTCTTACAATTGAGTCTTGGTCTGAACAAATGCATGCACGTCATAGTCAATGCTACCTCACAGCGCCACCTACCGTTTTCAAGCACAAACCATGTCTATAGAGCTCTGGACGTCACATGACTCTCAGAGAGTAGACGCCATGTTGGCAGGCAACAAATGTAAACAAAATGAACGGGATCGGCTTGGATTTTACTTCATCTGAGTTTACTTCACACTTTAAAACTGAAGAAATCGTTTTATATAGTAAAAAATTAAATAGACTAAACATCTCCGACCCTTAGCGTGCCCCTGGGATACTTTCTAAAAATGCCAGAAGCTATCGGAGCGGACTTCTTACCGGACCTGGCCAGGGAACCCCTTGGGATTCCCCCGGAAGAGCTGGCCCAAGTGGCTGGGGAGAGGGAAGTCTGGGCCTCTCGACGCTACTGCCCCCGCAACCCGACTCCAGATAAATGGATGGATGGACAAATAACAGATTTACATGTAAGAAGTTTAAATAGAGTGCTGTGCTGTTTGAATGTATAAACTGAACGCCAAGAGAAATCACTAGTCTGATTTTTTTCCGTGAATAAAATAAAAATGTCAGGCAGGAGCGTCTCAGGATCTGTCTGAGATCTGTCTCGGTGAGACAGATAACAGCAATCCAAAGTGCTTTTTATGTGTGATCTGACAATTGATCAACCATTGCTTAAAAATTAAATACAGCTTAGCCGGTTAATTGCTGTGATCATAAAACACGTAAACGACAGCACGCAGAAACACGAGGCAACGTTTTACGTGATGTTTACTTGTTGCTATGAGTAATAAGACAGAAAAAGCCACGCCAAAATAAGTTTAGGAAGCCCACTAAGAATCGTAATAAAAGCATTTAAAATAAATACCATACACAGTTAAGGAAATGTTGGTTTAAGTACCTGATATGAAGCGGTCGCTGCATAAGCAAAAACCTTTACTCTCGGGATCCCACAGCTTCATTTTAGCCCAGTCGCTAGCGCGTTTTATTACAATGATCCAACGATTGCGGCGCTCCGGGTCTTGGGGAATCCT